ATTTACTGAGCTCTTATTTTCAACTAAGCCTGTGTTAAGAGGTGGAGGTATGAGCTGGGCTCTGTGGCTCAGCCTGTAATCCCAGCACTTTGGAAGGCCGAGGCGAGAGGACTGCCTGAGCCCACAGGTTCAAGACCAGCCTGGGCAACTTGGCAAGACCTCATCTCTACAATAAATCAAAAATTAGCCGGGCGTGGTAGCACACGCCTATAGTTCCAGCTACTTGGAAGGCTGAGGCGGAAGGATCGCAGGAGCCCAACAGGTGGAGGCTGCGGTGGCCGGGAGGGTGCCACTGCTCTCCAGCCTGGGTGACAAGAGTGAGACTCCAACTGAAAAAAAAAAAAGGGGGTGGAGGTATGAATGTAAATGACAGTCCCTGCCTTCAAGGACTTTACAGTCCAATGTGTTGATTCTTACCTTTACTCTGATGTGTTAACTCTGGGAATGCTATTTGCAATTCTGTTCTCAACCTTAAGGAAGTGAGGGATAGTGGTACCTGCTAGCCCTCGGGCTGCTGGTGTGATTACACTCATACTGCTTTTCTGGGAAGGCTTTGGCAACAGGCAGCAAGTTCCATAAACTAATTCCTACCCTCTTGATCCCCCTTTATCTTAAGGAACTATCTCAGATAGGGACAAGGATTTATATACAGGGATGTTCACTGCTGTGGTTCTAATGAAACAGGATCTGATCTAAGCTTCTAACAGTGGAGAAATGGCAAAATAACTGATGGCACATCTCTATGATGGGCTACAAACAGTAATTAGAAATGAAATAAAAAACTTAATGAAATGGGGTAAAGACCAAAAAAGAAAAAAGAAAAAGAAAAATGTCTACAGAACGTGCTCAAAGATATCTATGACTTTTTTTTTAATTGTAGAGATGAGGTCTCGCTAAATTGCCCAGGTTGGTCTTGAACCCGAGGACTCAGGCAATCTACTTGCCTCAGCCTCCCAAAGTGCTGGGATTACAGGCTGAGCCACGAACTCAGGCTGAGCCTGTGAATTTTTGTTTGTTTGTTTGTTTTTTGAGTTGGAGTCTTACTCTGTCAACCAGACTGGAGTGCAGTGGCTGCTCCCGGCCACCGCAGCCTCGACCTGCTGGGCTCCGGCGATCCTTTTGCCTCAGTCTTCAGAGTAGCCGGAATTACAGGCATGTGCTACCACGCCCGGCTGATTTTTTGATTTATTGTAGAGATGAGGTCTGGCTGCCCAGGCGGGTCTCGAACCCTCGGCCTCAGGCAATCCACTCACCTCAGCCTCCCAAAGGCGCAGGATTACAGGCTGAGCCACCAAGCCCAGCTTATTTTTTTTTTTTTTGAGTTGGAGTCTCACTCTGTCACCCAGACTGGAGTGGAGTGGTCACTCCCGGCCACCGCAGCCTCGACCTTCTGGGCTCCAGCATTCCTTCCGCCTCAGCCTTCCAAGTAGCTGGAACTACTGGCGTGTGCTACCACGCCGGGCTATTTTTTTTTTTTTATTGTAGAGATGAGATCTCGCCTGCCCAGGCGGGTCTCAAACCCAGGGGCTCAGGCAATCCACTCACCTCAGCCTCCCAAAGGCGCGGGATTACAGGCTGAGCCACCGAGCCCGGCTAATTTTTTTTTTTTTTAATTGTAGAGATGAGGTCTTGCCACATTGCCCAGGCAGGTCTCAAACCCGTGGGCTCAGGCAATCCACTCACCTCAGCCTTCCAAAGCATGGGATTACAGGCTGAGCCACCAAAACCGGCCTGTGACTTGTTTTTTTAATGCTCCCCGTATTTTTCAAATTTTAACAATGCACTCGTTCTCTTTCCTTCTTGTTTTTTTTTTTTTTTTGAGTTGGAGTCTCACTCTGTTGCCTGGACTGGAGTGCAGCGGCACGCTCCTGGCCACCGCAGCCTCGACCTGCTGGGCTCCGGCAATCCTTCCTTCTGCTTCAGCCTTCCAAGTAGCTGGAACGACAGGCGTGCGCTAACACGCCCGGCTAATTTTTTTTTTTTGAGTTGGAGTCCCACTCTGTCGCCCAGACTGGAGTGCAGTGGCCGCTCCCAGCTGGGCTCCGGTGATCCTTCTGCCTCAGCCTTCCAAGTAGCTGGAACTAGAGGCGCATGCTACCATGCCTGGCTCATTTTGATTTATTGTAGAGATGAGGTCTTGCCAAGTTGCCCAGGCTGGTCTCGAACCCGCGGGCTCAGGCAGTTCACTCACCTCAGCCTCCCAAAGGCGTGGGATTACAGGTTGAGCCACCGAGCCTGGCTAATTTTTTGATTTATTGTAGAGATGAGGGCTCACCAAGTTGCCCAGGCGGGTCTCGAACCCGCAGCTCAGGCAATCCACTCACCTCAGCCTCCCAAAGGCGCGGGATTACAGGCTGAGCTACCGAGCCCGGCTTCCTTCTTTTATTTTCAAGTCAGAATCTCACTTCGTCACAATCGTGGTTCACCACAGCGTCAACTTCAGACGATTCTTCTGCCTCAGCCTCCTGAGTAGCTGGGTCTAGGTGTAACTGGCTAATTTTTTTTTTTTTTTTTTTGGTAAAGACACGGTCTCACTATGTTGCTCAGGCTGGTCCTGAACTCCTGGCCTCAAGTGATCCTCCTGCCTTGACCAAAGTGAACCACCGCACCCAGCTTATATGTACTATTTCTACAAATAAAACTTTTGATTTTTCCCCCCCTTTTCCTTTAGCTCACAGACATAATTCCCAAGAGTTTGAAAATCCTGTTGCATGGGGATTGACCAAAATTAATGGAAATTTCACACCTTATTTGGTACAGGTTGAGTGAAATGTCAGTAATGTTAGCTGCAATGCACTGAATGCCTGCTATGTGCCCAGGGCCAAGTAGGTTTATTATTCCAACTTTACAGAGGTTAAAAAAAAAAAAAGAGAAAGATATAATTGGGCAGTATGGACATAAAAAAAAAAAAAGATGTAATTAGGATTCCAACCCAGGTGTGCTTAATTTCAAATCCTTCTTATTTATCTATCTATCTAGTTAGCTAGCTATCGAGTCAGAATCTCATTCTGTCGCCCAGGCTGGAGTGCAGTGGCACACTCAGCAGCTACTGCAGTCTCGACCTGCTGGGCTCAGGTGATTCTTCCCCCTCAATCTTCCAAGTAGCTGGAACTACAGGCACGTGCCACCACGCCCAGCTAATTTTTTTATTTTTTATTTTTTTTGAGTTGGAGTCTCACTCCGTCACTCACCCAGACTGGAGTTGCCACTGCAGCCTCGACCTGCTGGGCTCCAGCGATCCTTCCGCCTCAGCCTTCCAAGTAGCTGGAATTACAGGCGCGTGCTACCACGCCCGGCTGATTTTTTATTTATTGTAGAGATGAGGTCTCGCCAAGTTGCCCGGGCGGGTCTCGAACCGCGGGCTCAGGCAACCACCTCAGCCTCCCAAAGGCGTGGGATTACAGGCTGAGCCACCGAGCCGGGCTTATTTTTTATTTTTTAAGATGTGGGGGTACAATTCAGGGCCGGCTAATTTTTTGATTTGCTGTAGAGAGGAGGTCTCTCCAAGTTGCCCAGGCTGGTTTGGAAACCCTGGGTTTAGGCAATTCTCTCGCCTCCACCAAAGTGTGTGCCTCGCCAAATCCTGACCTCTTTTATGCGAAATACAAGCACATTTTAAAAAGTTAAGCAATTCACAGGCAAATCCCAAAAAGGACTTCTGATACGTTTTAGGGCACCAGCATGGTACTACTAGGTTTGTTCCAGACTGCTGAGAACATTCGCAGGTCAACTTCGTGTTTCCTTTCTCCAGCGCGTCTGTTGGAGTCTCCCTCTGTGGCCCAGACTGGAGTGCAGTGGCGGCTCCCGGCCACCGCAGCCTCGACCTGCTGGGCTCCGGCGATCCTTCCGCCTCCGCCTTCCAAGTAGCTGGAACCACAGGCGCGTGCTACCACGCCCGGCTAATTTTTGATTTATTGTAGAGATGAGGGCTCGTCAGGTTGCCCAGGCGGGTCTCGAACCCGCGGGCGCAGGCAATCCACTCACCTCGGCCTCCCAAAATGCTGGGATTACAGGCTGAGCCACCGAGTCCTGCCTGTCTGTGTATCTTTTTTCTGGAGAATCCGTTTGACATACACCATATATACGCCTCGTTTACTGCCAGAAACGATTATGTTTTATGACATTATGTGTGTGTACACACACACTCACTCACACACCTCTTCCTTTCTAGCCCTCTTGTTTACCTTAGGAGGAAGCATTGGCTTTTTGCATCAATAAAAGATTGCATGATATTTGTTCTTTCTAATTAACGACATGCACCCAGCTTATAAGACTTCCAGAGCTTCAGGCTGTCAACGCAATGTGCACGAGGCACCCCCCCCACGCCCCGTTTACGTGCACTTCAAATCTCTGACATCTCCGACTGCTGTAGCGTTGAACTACATCCTATTTCCTCCTCCAGACCTTCCTCACGCTCCCTCCCAGGCCAAAGGACAGGGCCAAGGGGCGGGTGGCATGACCTTGGTGCATCCCCGGCCGAGCGGACGCGGCGTGACCTTGGGCAAGCCCCACTTCCCCTCCACTGAGTAGAGCGGCTAGACGGCGAGGTCTCCGCCCCGGTTGCCAGGCGGTCCTGCGACCGCATCCGGATCTTCCCAGGCTTCCTCCGCGCGCCCCACCAGCCCCACGCCTACGCTACCGGCGTAGCGGCCTCCGGGAGCCGCGCGGCCCGCTCATTGCAGACTCTCGTTTACGCCGCGCCGACTGGGCGGGCGCGATTCCCGAACGCGGCCGGCGCTGCGAGCGCGCGGGCGTCCCGCAGGCCGGCGCGGCCTTACGCCGCTGACGCAGCGCGCCCAAGATGGCGGCGCG